CGAGGCAGTGATTGGAGAGGCGAGAAATTTCTCTCTAATTGTTTCTAATTTCTTTCTTAAAAACATGTACTTCAGGCCAACACATACAATATTTGTGCCGCCGACCCCTGACTTCTTCGATGTCCTGGGGTCTCCCCCACAGCGCGTAACATTCACAGTTGATCCAGATGTCGTCGCAGCTTGCGAGGCAAACGACAGGCTTGTGCCTGCATTCCCCTCGCCTCCTCTCCTCGCCATCCGCGCCGCCTGCTCGCGTGTCGCACACATGGCCGGTGCGGTTGAACAAGCCGACCAGGTCCTTCGTGATCTTGAGGATATGTCGATTATGGCGGAGGACGGGACTACGGCTGAGCTTTTCACGTTGCGCCTGTTGCAGTCGTTGCCCACCTGGAGGTTCGACTAAAAAGTTCTTCGCTGTGATGTGACGTGATGTCACTCACCTGGCCACCACCCAACCACCACCTCGTCTGCCAGCCCATCTCCCATCTTCCGTCTCCCGTCTTCTAATTCCTTACTCCCCCCACCGCTCTCGGTTCCTCCTCGCGCCATTCTCCCAGCATCCTCTTTCGTCCCCCGCGATATGGGCGCTTCATGGACCTCGACGATGCCCCTGCGAAGCCCCGGAGCTAATCCTATCTCCGAGGTTCCCCAAGCTCCTTCTTTCTGCGACACCCCACCACCGCTGCCTGCCCGCGCCCCACGCCTCCCGCGGCACCTGGCGCGCCCGCATCTTCGCCCGCCGCGCGCGTTGTCGCGGGACGCATGTACTTGCGGTGTCGAGCCGCTATATTCTCGTTCGCCGCCTGCATGCCACCCACCGGTCGATCGGCGGCTGAGAATAGAGGTACACTGGTGCGCTTCTATTCGTGCTCAAGCCGATTTGTCCTGCCCGCGCTCACGCCAGCCGATTTTTCCGCCGCGCATGGGATACCGCGGCTGCGTTGCGCACTCTTCTGCTGGTACGCGGACGCGTCCCATAGCGCTACCCTACCCCTTTTCTCTCTTTCTTTCTTCTCCTTTCGCGCTCGAATGCTCTTCGCGATACACGTGGAGCGGAGCTCCCCCGCCCTGTCCTAGCGTATGCGGATCATGCGCCCATGATGGTTTGCTACGAGCAGGAGAGGATTCCGCACACTATGGCGTTCTCCTCCGTCCTCGCGAGTATGTACGTATCGCGCACGCTGCGATCCACGCCCGGCTCGCTGCTCTGCGACTGGAGCGACCTTGTCATATCCGACTGGGAATACGCTACTCGCGCACCCTTCCTCCCTGGGGAATTTGCGTGAGCTTCGGCATATGGTGAGCGCGGTCGCTCGTATGGTTTGTCGTTTGGCTACCATTGTGTGTGGCGCGGCCGTGCGGCGCGCACCTTCTTCCTTATCGAGATAGCGTCGCGTGGTACTGTGTGGTGCACGCATGCGATACGACCCCTCGCGCAAGCTTCTGCGAGAAGAACGGTGCGCGCGTACTTGCGACCCCTCGTGATATACGCTCCTCGTGCACTCTTCATCCTGTGAATTTTGCGCGGGCTTCAGCATATGTGGTGCTGAGCGCGATCGGCGCGAGTTGTCTATCGTGTGGCGCGAGGTGCGGCTGGCCGAGACGTCAGCGGGGGATGACAGTTGATGCCGGGGTCTCAGTAGCGTGGTGTTTAAGTGCAATCCCTCCGCGAGACAATGGACAATCGGATGATGAGTGCTGAGCTCCCACCGCAAGCGAGAGATTGCGGCATTCGTCTTTCCCTCTCATCTACAGTTTTCGGGGGCATGCCTGGTGCGTAGTTGCAGTATGGAGGTGTGCTTTCGATTCACTCAAGCGTGGGGCCTCATTTACTATGGACGACTGGACCGCATTCATAGAAAATTCATATGTGGCATTTATTTATCGCATGTACACTGCTGCGTACTCCAAAGCGGTTATTGTATTTTTACCTAGCCTCGATTGTTTCACTTTTTCGAACCGCGCTGCAATGTCTTTCCCGTGCCATCTCGCGCTGTGCGTCGCTCAACTTCTCATGTACGATAAGCACGAACGAACTCGAAATAATTCTCATCACCGGCTCGTTGGTTCACGCCCCAATCATTCAACTGGTCCGAACCTCCTCCAGATACTGTACCAATCCTAATGGGGGGGGGATATATTATACTCGCGTGGTCCACAGGCTGAACAACGAGTTTACGGAAGACAAACATGTAGTACTGTACGGGTGGTTATCCTTACAGAATTCTACAAGATGTCGACCGAGCACGATCATCATTCCAGGGGGTCGAACATACAAGACGCTGGCTAGCCGTGGACTGGCCGGCCGTTTTTAATGGCTGGACTTCCAGTTAGAACCTCGTGGGACCTGACCACAAGCGGAATACGCAAGTGTACAGGAGGAGCTTGACTCTCCTCCCAACTGAAACGTAACGCGTAGCGGGGGCGCCGTTTCGTTTCAAATGTAACGGAGGGGTCGTTTCTTTCAAAAACCGTTACTTTTTTTTCCCCCCAGCAGCAGAATTTAATATATTTATGCAAGGACATTGTGTAGGAGTAAATCTGGACCCCATGTTCATCCTCAAACCCCTCTAATTCAAAATTTAGTCAGCCTCGCCCACAATAAGTGATGGCTTTAGTGTGGCCGTTTCAACATTTTAGGTATGTAACGCATAACGGCGTGGGTGTTTCACGTTGCTACCAAATTGTTTCAGTAACGGTTCAAGGTCCGTTTCAGTCATTAGGATTGGTACAGTATAGGCTTGTGACGTCAACAAGGCCTGTCGGCGTGTCAGCAGAGCAAGGAACTAACTGCTGGCTGTGTTCAGAAGGGGAGATATCCTGATGCTTCAGGTACCCGTAAATGCTCCCAGATAAATTTAAATGAATTACCTGGAAAATATTGATTATGGCGAGGCGGACACTGGCGGCAATTACGATTTAGGATTAATATTTGTTTCAACGCCGAATTTCGGGAACAGTCAGACACATAGGCTTGAGAAAGACGATGCATTGGTGCAGCGCAGATATTGAAAAAGGGCTCTAACAATATATTTTGGAAGAACCTCGTTAGCCACCATGCAGGATTGAGATGACCCCTAAGAGGCGGTGCTCGTGGCTGCGCAATGCAAACAGGTGTACATGATCAGTATCAATTTTTCCTCAGTGCATCCATGTCGCTCCGGCTCGACAGCCTGCGCGACGAACTGGCTGAGCTACGCATCTCCATAGTATATCGGCGACATCCCCTAGAGGAACTCGAACGACGCCGAGCCGTCGTTGAGGCGGAACTGGATCTCTACACCTACCCCGTCTTGACCCTCCCTCCCGATATCACGTCGGAAATCTTCGTGCATTCCCTCCCTTCCGATTGGCCAGTGACACCTCATCCATCCAAATCCCCCTTGATTTTTCTGGGGGTTTGCCGCGTGTGGCGGATCCTCGCTCTCTCCACTCCAGCGCTGTGGACGAGCCTCCTCCTCGACGTTGATAGCGAGCATCGGGCGCTCAAAGCGCCAGGAAAACTCGAAACATTCGTGGAAATGTGGTTTGATCGCGCGCGCACGCTCTCGCGCTCTTTTCATTTCTATGGAGTCGCCGGCGACCACGCATTGAACACGATCTTCAATAAACATGCACCGTACCTACGCGAAATCTGCATGTACATCGACTCAGATTCATTCCTCAGCTTGCGCAGTGGGATTCCATTCCCTGTCCTAAACCACCTCACGCTTGGTGGTGATTTGGACGGGACCCCTAGCGACGCCTTCCTCTTGGCCCCTCGACTGGAGTCACTCCAAATGGCTTGTGTGCCTCCGTCTGCGTTAATACTCCCCTGGGAGCAGCTCACAACGTTTTCCGCCGAGGCTCTTACCGTTGGGGAGTGTCTGAGCGTGGTGCGCAAGGCCCCATGCCTGCGTAAGTTCACGTATTGGGGTGCTTTTGAGACCCAAGCCGAACCGCCTGTCTCCCATCCTGGTCTAATTTCGCTCAAACTCAGTGGTTGGGGCAGCGGAGGTATCATCCCCTTACTCGCACTCCCAAACTTGGAGAAGTTGCAACTGGATTACCTCTCAGCGCTTCCTGACGACGCAATCCCCCTTCCGTTCATCTCATCTTCTGCCCTCCACACACTCAGATTCGGCCACGACACACCCATGACTCTCCCGTGGCTCCGCGTTATGGAGCACCTCACCTCGCTCGAGGTCGGAAACCCCTTGTGGGAGTACAAGGAGGACTTCTTCCATGCGCTGGACCGGGCACACGAGCCCCGCTTCCTCCCCAAACTCGAAAATCTCACGCTTTCAAACTGCGAGACGCACAAGGTCAGCCAGCGCCTCCTGGATGCGCTGATCTCACGATGCGGTCCCGCGGCGGAGGGACTCGCGACCTTGAAGACGTTTTGTGTATCTGATACTGCTGGCCGGCGCGAGCAGCCGCTGCTCTCCCATTGATTACGACTATTTGATGGACTTGCGCACTTGAAGCTCACAATAGATGGAGGAATAAAAGCTTCTGTGTTCTTGCAGTGCATCTTTCGCTACTAATTACCGGGGATAGCTGGAAGGAAGAGAAGCACCGGTGGTGTGGGGTGCACATTCAATTATTTTGACGTTATAGTAAGACTAGCCAGGGTTTCTACATACTCGCCGCTGATGCATAATAAGCTATTCGCGCCATTCTGCACCATTTCATTTCTTTTGTTCCTTGTATTGATTTCGCGGTCGCATGTATCGAGGGTAAGAGGAAGAAGGAAAAGCATAGGAGGTACCGCCAGCCATCGAGCCAAATGTACGGGTTGACTGCACATCAATCATTTTTTGTGCCCTTGAGGTTTTCTTTTCTGCCCGGAGGGAGAAAAGGAAAGCATCAGTGGCAAGGTGCACTTCTCAAACTAGGAACCAGGATGCGATGGTCAGTAGTGCTCCTTTAGAATCCTCGTTCAGATATCAGTTTGCAAGCGGAGCTTTTCTATCACTTCCTTCTGTGGCATTTAGTATGGATAGCAGGAAAGCAGGAAAGCATCGGTGGTGCGCGGTGCACTTCGTCGAACTATGCACTGTTTTCGCCCATGTATTAGACGGTTTGGGGTTCGATTCCCCGCCGATGCATATTTTTCCGCAGGCACACTTTTGCTTTTTTACAAAAACCGACGAGTCAAATTTTATGTAGAGGGTGATGAAGGAAGCGGGACTGAGGTGCATGGATATTCAGCTGACTTAACAATTGAGAGCCTGCCATTAGGAAGGTGGTCCCAGAATCAACCCAGAATTTCATCAGTATGTATTCTTTATCCAGTTTTTCCCGGGCTCATCCAATCCTTCTAGAAGATTTGCGAGCGTCCATGTACACGTGAAGTCCGTTCTTCCGCCAATTTCTCTGGTATACCCGGGTTCCAGGGGGACCGCGAAAATGTGGACCGATAGTTGCAAGAGGAAGTGATTTTCAAAGTTATCCGTACGTTCGCTGTGCATTCATTTCATCTCGCAATCATAACATCGTAATTCAACCCCTAGCTCGTCCCACAAGTTTTTTAATTTAGCATTGACGGGATGGACGAACTGGCGTTCATTTATTTTCCGCAGCCTCGGCCTCCTTCAACTTGACCCAAGTCGGGCATTGTATCAACCCGTTCCACCATCTTCCGATCCGGGGTTAGCTAAACCAAATGCTTGGAATGAAAGGATACGCACCGCGCGACATTTAGCCCACTGCTCGTCATCACATCCACCCCCTTGTCCACAAAATAGGGCGCGTAGTAGAGGTGGAACAGGTCCGCCAGCGTCAGTTCCTGTCCAGAGAGCGAAAGCGTCAGCAGCAGCTCTGCAGAGTGCGGAGGGAGCACGTCACATTTCCCCCGAGGAACTTCTGTTTTCCGAGAATGACGTCGTACACTGCAAGTTTCTCGGCAACCGCGGACACCGCGTCCTTGAGGAGTTCTGGCTTGGGCTCGGCGCTGTTGTACGAGTGTGTGGTTAGGCCTCCGCGGACTGCAAATAGGGATGGATTCGCACTCTCCACTGAAAAAATACAGTACAACCGCCTTCTGCACCTGCGGGTGGAAGTTCGTATACTCGAACGAAGCGGCTTGTTCAAATAGCGCTTTCCCTTTCAGGTCGGTTGGAAGAAGAGGTGTCCCCTGGTCTGCGTACTTCTCTGCAATATAGCGGCAGATAGCGCGAGTTTCACACAGAATAAAGCCGTCGTCGTCCTGCAGCGAGAATTAATTAATTTTTTTTTGAGCAGCAGTGACGAACAGCAGGCGAGACGTACGAGCACAGGAACTTGCCCGAAAGGATGCATGGCGACGAACTCCGGAGTTTTGTGCTGGCGGTTCGCCATATCGACCAGGATCCGTTCATAGGGCACTTGCTTCTCTGCCAGGACCAGGTCGACCAGACCCCGCCGTTTTCCCGTGTAGAGTTTAAGCACCATAGTGGATCTGCGAGCTAGTCAAGAAGGGAAAGAGGAAGCAACTGCCGTGTAACACTACCTACCTACCTATCTACCCTTTATAGCATTATAAGGCGACGTGTCCATTTACGCGATTGGCTGCCTATCGTACTTACAAATGTAATTCTACTTACAAATGCGATTAGAAATCGTTTCCCGAGGGACGCGGGATCCATCAGCGCTCAGGGACGAGGATCGGGAAAGATCTACATCAATGAATGGTGCGCCACAGATTACCCATCCTCTAAATGTGAAATTTAGTTGGGTTGTTAATGGCTTTGTAGTGCCGCCCCCGAGCCAAAAAGACCGTGCGCCAGATGAGAGCGTGGGCGAAATTTAGAACGATTTAGACAAGTTGCGTTAAGGTTGCGTTTGATCATCGGCTTTGGCCACATCCGATGAGCGATACCAAAAGGGTTTAGCTGATTCGAGTGGCTCACTCATCAAAAGTGATGTAATTCCTGTTGATATAGGAGTGAACGCGGTAAAGCGGAGAGGATGGCGCATAGTCAAACCGCAAAGGCCAGCGCATAGAGCCGGATGCTTTGAACACAGAACATTGTTTCGGAGAGGAACGCGTGCCCCATTCGATGCAAACTACCACCTAAAACCTAATCAAAGCCCAGGTCACACCGCACGACAAAAGATGGCCTGGGGTAAAAGGAATCGTATCTGACCGGCTCGCTTGTCCTCAGAACTGTCGCCCAGTTCGGAAGTGTATACTTAATTCCCTGGACAACCCAAATTCCCCGTGGAAAGAGAATTCATTCCACAGTTGCTGGATTGCAAAAACGACACCTGCGTGCATGGATAAGGCATGGGAGGTCGACAAGCGTGAGCTTGAGAGTAAGAGTCGCATGATTGAAACCATCAGACCGGTAGAGGAACGGCTGGCAGAGACGACCAATAGACGCGAGGACTGGCGGAAGAGAGAGTTAAAGCTTGCTTGCGCTTGCAGTGATCGGCAACGGTCAAGCTCAGTTACTTTGGTTTCCCGGCGCGGTGAGATGGCTAAACGGTCGGGCTCCACCGGAAAGGTAAAAAAGTTGTCGTCGACGCGCTCGTCGTGTGGAGTCGTGCTAGTTGAAACAGCACATATAGGAGCTGGGGTATAGGTGCACCGGGATGTGGAGTTGTGGCGCAAGGCCGTAGCGTAGTGACTTCGCGAGAACGTAGAGTACAGGCTCCGCCCTAGGTACCAGAACCGACAGGTATTCGGGACACGACATTGCTCGCCAGACTCGAGAACTACATCCGCCGAATCAGTCGTATAAGCAAAAGAACGAGGAAAAAACGTACCCCCACCCCAATGAGCGTCTCAGCGCCGACGAGCACGCTCATATCGATCGCCTGAGTCCCCGCCTGCTCGTCCCGTGGCAGCTGCATATCCAGCGAGCTCGCAGCGCGCGCAAGGAACTCTTCCGCGGATGGCCAGCAGTGCGCGAGCGCGGGCGCGTCGTGCGACATGCCATCCGGCACGTCGAGATAGTCCGGGAGCATGGGATAGCGCGCGGGGTCGCGCACGCTGGGGCACGCGAAGGCATTCCACGAGGCGTGGGCACGTCCCAGTCCGCGAGGTTGGTGCAGTGCTCTGCGTAGTCGCCGCGGCGGACGTGTAGCGCGAGCGGCCCGGCGAGTGGGAGCGTGGCGGTGTGGTAGGGGCGAAGGCGCTGATGGGTAGGGGCTGAGGCGTTGCCGAGGGTGCTGCCGCTGGTGAGGCAGAAGGAAGAGGAGATGCGCGAGAGGTGGGGGGGCGGCGGAGAGGAGGTTGAAGTTGCGCTCGAGGGCGCGGGTGATGAGCGGGGCCAGGCGAAGGCTTTCAGGGTTGGGGAGGAGCCATATGTGAGCCATAAGGGCAGGACGCCGGAGGGGGAAAGGGAAAGCCATCGTTCCTGAGGCATCCCGCCTCCAATGCGTCGGATGAAAAAGTCTTCGCTGTGACGTGACGTGACCTCACTCACACCTCGTTTGAGGCACCATCGTCTTCCAATTCCTTACTCCCCCCATTCTCCATCTTTCGTCCCCCGCACATGACCTCGACATAATCCCATGTTTGATGTTTTCATAGTCTGGGTGACAAGGTGCCTAGCCTGGCTAGCCAAAGCTCCGTCTTTCTGCGACGCCCTGTCACCGCTCCTGCCCCGAAACGTGCGCCCTACGCCTCCCGTGGCGCCCGCATCTTCGCCCGCCACGCGCGTTGTCGCAGGAAACATGCACTTGCGCCTGCGTCGAGCCGCTATATTCTCGCCCGCCACCTGCATACCACGCAGCCCGTACCGGGGCGCTTCCATTCGTACTCGAGCCGACTTGTCTTGTTCGCCCTTTACGCCGGTCGACTTTCTCACGGCGCATGGGGACACCGCGGCCATCTCGCTCCATGCCGGCGTCTTCGCTCGCCGCACTCGTTCTCGTGAGACGCATATCCACTTCCTCCCTTCCTGCTCCTCGCGCCATCCCCTCTCACTCGCTGATACTAGCCTCACAGATTCGGAAGGCAGCGGCCCATGTCGGACCTCGACGATGCCCCAAGCAAAACGATCCGCGTTTGGGGTGCATTCTCCTCATACAGATCTGTGGTCTTCCACTGCAGGTCTGCGCGACTTCGTGGGAATGCCCGGGTCGCTCCAGCGCTTTACTTTACGCGCCGCCGCGCCACCGCTGCTTGCGCCCTCGGATCCCGCCATCGGCGTCATGCTGTGGGAACTGCGTTCCGTGCCCACCGCACTCGTTCTCGCGGGCCCCTGCGCGAGCCGCCGCACTCGCGCGCGCAGTCCGGGTGATCGGCTGTTACAGCCTTCCTTTCCCGCGCTCGTGCCAGCCGATTTTTCCGCGGCGCATGGGGACACCGAAGCTGCGGCGTATAGTTTTTTTGCTGCCACTGCTGCGTCCCATCCTTGCTTTCTTTAACTTTTCATTTCGCGCTTGAATGCGCACCATAATGCGTGCGGGCTTCACTTGCGATGTTTATCTCGCTTCACTGTGAATTTATCTCACTTCATTTCATCAAGTTCATCTCCCCGATTCTGCTGGTGCCGCGGCGCACTCGCTCCTGCGCCTTGTCCAAGTGTATGCGGGTGGCGTCATCCATGCTCACTCCCCCCACCCTGCTCTACGATGAGTTGTTGCATGCGCGGCTCGCTGGTTGAGGATGCGGCGCAGGCTTCTGCGAGTAGTGAAGCGGCGCGACCTTCTCATACCGACCATGGGCTTACGCGGCGACGTGCACTTCCTTCCTGCGGGTTTCTAGTGCGCACCCCCTCGCTCCGGATTTTGTGCAAGATTCCGCATATGGGTGAGCGCGGCCCCCGGGATCGTCTGTCGTCTGCGTCGCGCAGTATTGTGTGGTGCGCGCGTGCGACACGACCCGGGCTCCTTCCCCCGCGTGCGAGTTGAGCAGCGGCGCGCTCCGTATCCGCGAACTTCTCATACGGGCGTAAGGCTCGCACTTCCTCCCTGAAGATTCTGCGCGAGCTTCGCCATATGTGGGAATGGGGCGCGCGCGCCCCATCCGATCGTTTGTGGTCTGGCGCGATAGCCCGCTTTCGCGTTGTCAGTATGGGTGCACTAGAGCGCCGCGTGGATGCGGCTGGCGGAGACGTCGGCGGGGGATGACGCGGGTGTGGTGTTCTCGTGGTCCTGTGTGCGCTGTGGCTTCGTC